AGGAGGAGGAATAGTACACGGGACCTCGGCGCCAGTTGCATCACGAATCGTGAGCGTGCGTCGATGGAAATTGACCGTGTGGTCCACGCTAGAAAGCCAAGGCATCCCCAAAATGACATCGAAGTCGGTGTCCAACACGTCAAAAGTGACGGGTTCATATGCGTGCGGTGCAAAGTACACCGGGACAGCCGAGATGTAACGGTCTAAAAGCTGTTTCGTCTTACCGTCGGCAAGAGCGACCGTCGTCGGATGTGACTTCCTCCATACTTGTGTGCCAAGGCCAGCTCGAGTCATGAAGGACTGGCTGATGAAGTTGCGAGTTGCGCCGCAATCTAGCAAAGCGTTGCAGGCCGCTTGCCCAATCTGAATGCGAACGTAGAGCAACGGTGCATTGTTTTCTGCGTACCGTTGCGAGACAAACTCGCGGGCCACCTTGGCAGCATAGCCAAGCATGTCCCCCACCGCGACTTCGTCTACCGTCGGCGAAGTTGGTGGTGCATGGAAGGGAAGATACTCGTGTGAGAGAGCGCATAGGGCTACGCTTTGCGGCCCCGAAGGTTGCCCGTCGTAGGGAGAGGAATCCAAGCGAAGTCCTCGGGCGTGAGCGGGTCCAAAGTTTCCTCGTTGAACACGCGTGCCGAATCCCTTGATGAAGACGAACTGGCGGAGAAACCTTCGGACGGTGAGAAAGCCGCACATGTATCTTGTCCTTGAGTAGCATTCAGTGAAGGAACGAGCCGGGCAGCGAAGTCTTCGAACGAAAGTTAAAGACTCCCGACATCCGCATATGCCTCTGAAGAAAGGGCGGTCGTGGCCACAACCGCTTCCGATGGCGTCGAGGGAGGTGTCGAGTTTCCCTCGGCGGCGCCTACTTTCCCTGACGGGGTTTCCCCTTGGTGGGGCAAAGTGCAGCATCGTGGATGGTGCTGTTGCACCAAAGGCAATACCGGTACTTGAGGCGCGTGCGATAAGAGTTCGACGAGAGTCCGTATTGTACCCAAGGTTCGTCGGCGGCTGATCCGGTGCTCGGTGGTGAGGTGGATTGAGTCTTCGTCTTGTCGCGGCCGTGGTTGTTGMGCGGCCGGCCACCATCCCGGGCAGCTGCCAACRCTTCACCCTYRTTTGGTGTTGCAGCCTCRGAAGAAATAATGCAAGYCACCTTTGGCTTGAGCTGGGTGCCGCTCGTCGTCGCGGAAGATCGGCCTGCGTTGCGGGCTTCGATATTTGTCAGAATGATCCGTGACGCTGTGCTAAAAAGCTTGTCGGATGTGTCGAGTGTCTCTGCAATCCGCGTAAGCGCGTTTTGCAGMGYCGGACACGAGCGCATGATAAACAAGTGYTTGATGGCGCGGAATGCGAGCGGCAGGTTAGGTGTGGAGGCGAGTCTTTGAAACTCGGTGATCCAGTCCTGACTGAGCAGCGTGTTTTGATGGAGCTTGTTGAGCTTGTCCATCGCTTGCAGGTCGGGCGGCTCAACTTGGAATCGCTTGTGCCAGGCGTCAATCAACTCCTGCCAAGTGAGCTTGGTGTGTAGTTCCGACACTGCTACGCCGTGGCTGGTCAAGATGTTGTCCAGCCATGCTTGACACGCACCACCAGATCGGTGGTACAAGCACGGATGTCGATCGTTGTTCGGGACATGGTGCATGTCGGGCCGGAGAGTAAACTGGCGCCACCACGGGATCGGTTCCGTCTTGGACTCATCGCATAAGACTGGAATGTCATCTAGCTTGGGTGGGCGCCTGGAGGATGCGGCGACGGGCGTTATGGTGGCAGCTGCCTGGACCTGCGTCTCCAACTGCAAGTTCGTTGCTTGCTGCGACGTCCCGAAGTCCTGATGCACACGCTTGATATTGCCGACGTCGTCCTCCAAGACTTGAACACGGGTCGCAAGGTTTGCAGGCCCTGCGGCTGCTACGACTGCTGGCTGTTTTTCCAACGCCTGCAGCCGTGCGAGCATCTGGTCCACTGTCTGCTGCAGGTGGARGATTTCCTCCTGCTGCAGAGCGCAGGTGGTCACGAGGTCGTGGGAGACCTGTGCAAGGGCTGACAGCCCTTTCTCAGTCTCCGGGGCCTCGTGTGTAGATGCCATTTCCACCCAACGTGCGGCCTCATCGCCGATCACGGTCTCCCGTGTGAACAGTCGTTCCCGCTGGCGTGACCGGTGTTCAGCTGCCGCCTGCAGGTCTGCCTCCTCTTGACGAAGTCG